TGGACTCAGATGTGCTGTACTTAGGCTACGAGGGTTTAACCCATATAATGTCTGATACTGCCTTAACTGAATTAACTTTCACTCAGTTGGGCAGAAGTAGGATCAGATGGAGAATGAACACGGTCACCACTCTGCTAAAAACGGACCACACGAACAATTTCACATCCTACATGTTTTTAAAAAACATGCATAGTCCCTTTTGGAGCCCAATACTAACCAAAACAAAATGCTGTTTTGGCAAGCAGAGGTCAGCTCCTCACCATTATTCCGTGACACTTTGGCTCAGCCCTTGCTCTGCACACAGCTATTCTCACCGTCCCAAGCACGGGCTGCAACAGCACTCTCCCCATAGGAAGGGAGCCTTAAGCAACAAAGGAATGGAAGTTGCAGAGCCCGGATTATTCTGCTCTAGTGGCTTTTTGATTCCTTTCCCACAGTGGGAACTCTGTCGAGGACTCACAAGACAATGACACTTGAAATCCCACAGCACACAGGCACAGCCCGAGGAGCCCACATGAAAGCTGGATGCCATTATCGCGCTGTCAGTCAAAGAACAGGGCAAGCCATAAAGATCACAAATTAGCCTTATTAACTCCTGTGTTTTTGTGACATTTCTGCCTTAAACATGCAATACGATCTGGTCTGTTAATTCAAAGGTGTTAGGAAGTATTAAGAGAATTAGCAGCTTAGTTTCTGTTAACAAAGTTTTTTTTTTTTGTCTTTGTTGAGCTACCAAAAGGAAAACTGTTCAAAGCAGGTACTTTGGTAAAGTTCACTGACACCACACAAACGGTTCAAATGCTGCATTGGGGATTGTTCAGTTTTGAGTGAGCAGGATTCAATCACTGCTCCACAGAAAGCTACAAATCCACTTTCAAAAATAGGGCCCATTGTAATAACAAAGCACACACTGCATTACAAGATACATGATGGAAAGCACCAAAACCTAGCTGACCAAAGAGAGAGCATTTGACAGAGAGAGGCATTGCAGGTTCTAACATTTCCTGAGGAGATGCTGCATGTTTCTAAAGGTAAGAGAAGATTCTTTTATTTCTTTCAGCCCCATTTTATAAGTTTGCTTTACAGAAATGTTGGGGCAACTGTAAATGCTGCAGGGCTGCAAACTTCTTCACGGACACAGAATCTCCCAGGTCACACTGTTCCAATGGCAGATTGTGGTCTTAACCCAAAGCACCTGGGGTTAACCCAGGTTTTTTGGAAGCCACCAGGCAGTTCCCAGACACACAACTTCTCAAGCTGGAGATCCTGCCCTGCTGAAACACAAGTCCCCTGAGAAGGACAAGTCTCTTGATGCATCTTTCCTGGCCAAGAGAGCAGAGTGCAGATGCTCTCTGGCCTAGCAATCCACTGAGAACATTAAAGCTCCAGTCAGGGCACCTCTGGATAGGTGCTCAGGAGGACAGAGGACGAGGACACGGGAGGACACCAGAGACTCTCAGAGGCGGCCCCTGCCAGCCCCAGGTCAAGGAGGACACAGTAAAGCCGGGCATCGCAGAAGCGCGGTAGCCTTTTTGCATGCTCTCTACAGCCCCCTGCAACATTTTTTGCAAAAAGCTTTCTGACTGCCACAGTTCATCACAGACACGAGTTCAATAGCAACAGCTGAGAGGGTGCCCTGTGTACCAGTCTGTGCAGCGATTTCAAGTGAAGCCTTCGTTTTGCAGGTCCAAATCACTCCCACCGCCTCAGCCCAAAAAGTAAATAGCTATAACCCTGTGACATTTACCATGAGAGAGTGGCAAGATTTGTCATGAATAGCAATAGCAGTTGCAAGATGTGGGGCATATTTAATAGTGAAAACTCTCATGTGTTCTTTTAAATTTTCATACTTTCTAACAGGCAGGAAGTTAAATAAACATGGATACAAGCTGCACATGCACAGCTGACCTGCTGGCAGGAGCAGCAACCTCCCATAATAAATCCTCACGTGTATAAATGAAGAAAAGCTAACGGAGAGCAGGCAGACAAGGAAAAATTAGGATTGTGCACAAGACACGAAGACATGGAGTTCATGTGGTCTAAGCACATGAACTCTAGGCAGAACCATCAAACCTTTTTCAAGCATCTCTATGTTTTCGACCAACACAACCAAATTAAGATCAACTTTAATTATTAAACTCACCTCTGATAGCTACCTGATCTCGAGTCCGAGTCCCCTGCCACGGACCTGAAATGGGTGACCAGGAACCCAGAGGATACAAGCAAATGGACTTGGAAAGGTAGGTGAGCCTGAGACATGTGACACCAACCACCCGGATGAATACAGTTGCCTCAAGCCTCCACATTTTTCCTATCTCAACTCTGGCTCTGTAGATGAAGGCCAATATTTCAGACCACTAGGAAGGACCTCTCATCAAGCATGCCCTCTCAACACAGTTGGAAAATAAGGAAGGACATATTCCCTTACATTACAGATAACAAGTGTAACTGTGTAGTGATGGGTTGGATGTAGGTGCCAAATGCAGTTTAAATCAATGCTGTGAGGTCAGCAAAAGAGGACTAAAAAGGCTGTACTCTATGAGGGGCTTATACACTGCAGAGGAAGGAAGAGACCTAGAGATGAGCTGGAGAGGGGAGGAGACCAAAGTGAGAGGAGAGACAGAGCAATGAGATTTGGCTCAAAACAAACCTGTCTAACCAAGAGAAGAAAGGGAGCCCAGTTGAGTATGAGAAGAGTCATGGAAAAAGAACAGGAATAAGGTAAGAACCTTAAAAATAAAAACAACACTTCTGTGTTCTGGTATCAAGACAGACTTTTTTTTTCCCCCATAAAAATATCTTTTTATTTACTTCTTAGAAGAACATGCATTTTATTTCCCTCTTAATTTAGACTCTTTTTTTTGGATAAATAAAAGCAAATGGATAAAACTCTCTTTTGCTCAAAGGCAGAACAGAGGTAGAAGCTCAAATAGACAATTTAGGAAACAAAAAGCAAATCAAAGAAATTCTTTTCTTCTCAAGTGAGAAGAGATACTAGAGTGTACGTAAGAAGAGGCAAAGGAAAAAGAATTGGAAGATTTCCTCTCATGGCATCAGACAAGACAAAGAGTTCGAGCAACCAACTTTTACCCTTAGAATCACCATCCACAAATGCACATAAACAAAACCTGCTGCTAGGAAGGAAGCATGAAAGGGAAAAGCATCGCCCCACCATTGCAGCCTGCTCACATATTGCCTCTCCTGCCTCAGCTCCTGCAGTATCAACCTGGCCTGACAGATCATGAAGTGTCAGAGCAGGTCCCCAGGCAATCAAACCCAGTACCAGAGAGGCCGAGAACACAAATTCTTAATTCAAACAAAAGATCAATTCAGACATGTCAGATGACAACCACTTTGGCACACTCATCTCTGGATGGCCATATATGTCTCTAAATACCAATCTTTTTACCATGGGGATTTTTAAAATGAGATTTGTTTATTCACGCTCAGATTCCTCTTATAGTCATGCCAGCGATAAGCCTTAGATTAAAGAAAACTTTTCAGCTTTAAATACTTCTTCATATGATACTCACCATATAGTTCAATGGGCAACTCCCTGATCTGAGCAACCACTTTAAAGCATTCCCTAAGGGCCTCCAAAATAATTTTGTTCAACCCAATATCTAATTAGGCATCCAAAGCTCTCTGATCTCTCAAAGGTTGGTTCATAAAGACTTCACTCAAAACAAAGAACCAGATTTGAATACCCTTAGGGCTGACATATAATAAATCTCCTTACTGAAACCTAAATGGAGTACAGGGAGTCTAAAAGGTACCTGAAAGTACAGAAGGTTATTTCCCTGTCACTGAAGTCAATGGAAACAGTCAGAGCTTCATTCTCTGAATCAGAAGTTAGCCAGCTACACAACAGAGCACATGAGTACACTGGGAGCACAGCAGCGCAGCTGTTAACGGAAGCACAACACTACAGACATTAGGGTGGGATCAAAGGGGCAGGAGGGATGTGAAGAGTTTTTCAAGTCACTTAGAAGATACAGACACATAGTTGCTTTTAAAATGAGGAAAGACTTCAAGATCCCTCCCCATCTGCGAGTAACCTAAACTAAAAATACTTTTGAAGTTGCTTTAGAGATTTTTCAAGATTCTGTGGGAGCGGGGGGGCGGGGGGAAGCCCTGCTTTGTGTCCAGAAGAAAGCAGCCCATACCTTCTGAGCGGTGAATGCAGGTGTGCTGGTTGTCACTGAGGAAGAACCCTTCCTTACAGCGGCATTCATAGCTCCCCACGGTGTTGACACAAACATGCTGGCAACCCCCGTTGTTGAACGTGCATTCATCTGTATCTGAGAGAAAGAGGGAGAGAGAGATGTGCTTTGTACCTGCCCCACCACAATGGAAGTCACCACCAACAAATTAACACCAAGCCCTCGCCCTGGCAGAGGCTGAACAACATGCAGGAGACCGATTTGTTCGGCACGTAGCCAGCCTGACAGACCAGACGTCCTGAGCCAGACTGCCCTTTTTTTAAAAAAAAAAACCACCTTTGGAAATGTATTTTTGTTGCTTCTCTTCCCCTCAGTCACAGGGCTCCAAGGAAATCTAGACAATTAACCAGGAAGGTGGAGAAATAACATGGAGGGAGCCAGACACAGCTGCCCTGGCTGCCCCCTCCACCTAGGGGAAGGTGCCATCCTTGCAGGGCACGTGGAGACTGCAGCCACCAGCCAGCAAGCACCTTCACACGCGGGCTCAGCAGCCCCACTCTGGCTGGCTCTGGCAGGGCTCAGTGTCTCAGGGATACGCATTTGGGCTTCAGATCCATCGAAGCAACAAAAAGTGTTTTTTTGGTAAGCTCTGAATTCTGAGGCTAAAATGCGGCTCTGGCAGGGCTCAGGGTCTCAGGGATACGCATTTGGGCTTCGGATCCATCGAGGCAACAAAAAATGTTTTTTTGGGTAAGCTCTGAATTCTGAGGCTAAAATAGAACAAGAAAAATACCAACCTCAACATCAGTTTGGATTAAGTAAAAAACACTCATCTTCCTTCTGACTTTCACTGTAGATACAAAGACACACCACATCTGTTCTGATGCTTGGGTTGATTTATTATCTTCCTCCCTCAGCTCTAGCTCATCACTACTTATGTTAAGGCTGCTGCTGTGCTGCTTAATTGTAGTCAAGGACAAAACCAGAAATGCTTGAAATAGTTTAAGTAGTGCTGATTTTGCAATATTCAGAACTTCACTAAAACCAGAGAATATAGGAAGTCTCTGCTTGCAATATAATCAAGAGAATGAAAAGCAGAAAAATTTCAGCTAAGCTTCTGAATGACACATTCATCCCAGTCTCTAGTTCTTCTGAATTTCATCCCTTAGTAATGGCAGATTTTTGTAACCTCTGCCAGCAAAGAATTTTCCTACCACAATTTTATGAAATGGCAATCTGAAAAGGAAGCAGAAATGCTTAGTACCTTAAAAGCACGATAAAAAACTGCTGAGGCAAAGAACTGGTCTCATTTGCAAGTTCAGATGGAATGCCACATTTGCTCTCTCTTCTGTTCATTGTTTCTGTGCTAATAGTACAGTGTTTTTAAGTTAATGCTTATGCAATTCTGGCATAAAACAGCTGTCAAAGAAAGAAAGAAAGAGAAAGAAAGAAAGAGAGAAAGCCTTTAGAGAAGCATAATGTAGCATTATAACAGATTTAATTTCTACTGAAGGCAATGAGTAAGCCAATTGGATGCAAAAGAACGTGACCTACCATAGCAACGAAAGGAGGACATATCTCCACCACAGAGAAGTGGAGTATTTGAGCTCTACAGTGATGTGAATGTGCAAACAATCATGAATAAACAGCCACCATGAGTCTTCAGTGCAACAGATCTGAACTCCAGCAGATGTTTCTGTCTTGCAGCCCTTGGAAAGCTTACAGAACACCATCTCTTTCCAACAAGTAATTGTCTATTTGGCTAAAACCCAGGCCCACAGCTGAGATCTTCAAAAATCAGGGTTAGAGGAGGGCAACCATGGTGTGAACAAAGTAAATAAACAGATTAAGAGAGGATGTGATCCAATTTGCTCTATGCCATAATATTTATTTAAAGTTTACATCACATCTCAAAATTAGCTGGTCAATGATAAAACTTCATTTTACTGTCAGCAACATTTTTATTTTTAAGTCTGTCATGAAATATTGAGCGACTTCACAGGAACAGGACTAGGTTGTATCTGTATCTGACTGCAAACCATTCAGCAGAATTATGTTCTAGAGTAGCTACAGGATGGAAAGAGAACACAGCCTTGGGCGGCATTGCAAGAGGCTCATGTTTAGCCCTTCATGCTAACCTCAGCTGAACTCCACTGTATGTTTACACAAAGAAATACAAGATCCCTTTTCTAGGATTTTGAAGCATCAGCAGATATTTTGCTCATCTCTGGGCACTTTTTCTAGTGAAATACTTGATGACTTCACCCTCTCTTCCGCTTGTGCCATGGAACCTGCACCCTGCTGCACTAGGTGCTGGACAGTACCATCACGGTAAAGCCACAAGACCTTACTACCCATTTCTAAAGACTTACACCTGCTGGTCCACAAAAGGAAAGAAACTATCAATGTCTCAAAAATAAACACGCAAAAACAAGCAACAAACAAACAACCTCTGTCTCACTCCCTTAGCACTTCCATGATGCTCTACCACACAAAGCTACTACACTACAAGTCTCATGTCCCTTCCTCACAGCTTACATCTCATGAAAAGTTCTCATACAATAGAAGTGAAAAGGCCACATGTTATAGACCTGAAAGAAAAGATTTCTATGCTTAAAAACAAACCTGAGAGCTGACCTTAAAATTTGGAATGGAAAAATGCAATGATACCACATGTTCCTTTCTAGAAACATATTTAGCATAATAATAGGTAACGCTTTACACATTTTAATCTGAAACACTTAGCGGAAACTAGCACAATTACCCAGATGAAGAAAGAGATTCACTAAATAGTCACCCTGAGGTGGCACATCAGCACCTGAAATTCCTTAATTCCAGGGGTAACTTTCTTTTCTAGCCAAGCTGATTCAGCCCAGCCTTTTCCATGGATATGGTTAAAGGGTGAAGTTAGTGTGCTTACTCGCAGTGTTCATGAGCACGCTTCTTACCCAGGCAGTTGTGGCCATCGTGAGCCAACATGAAGCCATCGTAGCAAGTGCAGCGATAATTTCCGGGGATGTTGAAACACTCGTGCACGCAGCCGCCATTGAGGTCGTTATCGCATTCATCAATGTCTACAGGATAAAGCAAAAGTCAATATGATGGATGCCTGCTCAAGCATTATGGACAGGTTGTGATGCAAAAAGGTAAGTGTTAACGGCAACCGCTGTCTTAAACCATCATTGTCTTGCAAAAAGGCTATACTTGATGTACTATTTGTTGAATGTTTCTAAAAAGTAACAAAATTCCTTAAGATCCTCATTTAGCTCTATGTTACAATTTAGTCTTTCTAAAGCTGCAAAAACCTACAAACTAATTACCTGATCAAGTAATCTACTAGATGAAAACAATGCAGTTGGGTCTCCTCTGTTTTTGCAAAAGAGGAATCAATCAGGTGGTGAGACAAATATCTTGTTCAAAATCAGCCTAGGAAATCAATCATCTTCCATATTTTAAACCATTGCTTTTAAATTTCCTTCATCTCAACAGAAACATTTCATGCCTTCACATGTAATATTGCATGCATTTTTAGTGATCCCATCTTGAAAATGCAGCCACGTGATGAAGAGGATTCAAACACACAAACAAACAAGAAGAGGGGCAAGAGGTGTTAATGAAAAAGCTCCTATATAAAGGCACACTACTCAATGGACAAATGTAAAGGGACACAATCAGGGTGGTGTGGTAAAAGTATCACACAAGCAATTGATCTGTGGAACTCACTGCTGTGAGATATCACTCGTACCAAACACCTTCATTAAAAAAAAAAAAAAAAAGTCTACCTAGCTGGAAACTTCTGTTGTTACAGCATCACTCAGTGGGCATACTGCAATATTTCTTTCTCCCTCCTCATTCAACTGATCAGATTTTGGTAAAAAACAAACAAACAAAACCTATAGCTGCTTTGATCTTGTAAACTATCCCGTGTTCCTTCAGCAAACAGTTACGTGTTGAGCAGCTACCAGCCCTGAACCTTTACTTATACCTGTTACACTTATGAAGGGGGAACTGGCAAGAGACAACACCAAGGACTATGGTAAACCATCAAGTCTCCTATTTCTGGGTACTAGTCCAACTACGTGCAATTAGATGTGGATGGACACACATCTGTTTTAATATAACTGGCCAAGCTAAGTATCCTTGGTGCTGACCAGAATTTTTCTAGCCCAGGAGCACATAGAACCTTCTCCCTCATTTATGGAAATGAGATTTTTTTTGTTGGAATCTGTGGCTGACATTTGTGTTCCGCTTAGAGAGCAAAAACTCTGCTTCTGTCTGGCAACTGCCCTCCACTTTGGCTTGCTCACTGCACCAATCCTACAAAGCACTTGAGGACCTTTCAGGAAGGAAAGGACAGCCACAGCTCCTGGCAGAGGCAGTGTCATGCTTGCATCACTTTACCTTCACATTTCTTCCCTTCACCAGTGTAACCCACTTTGCACATGCACTTGTAGAGCTTCAGGGTGTTTTGGCAAATAGCATCTGGATGACAGTCATCAAGTCCAAGGGCACACTCATCCACATCTGTAGAAAGACACCAGACTCAGAAGGGACATCAGCCAGGGCAAAGCAGGGGTGCCTGGGCACATCGCTGACAAGGTGCTGCAAGGCCCTGCGTGCACGTGCATGCAGCGAGAAAGGTCTGTTAATCTTTATGGTTAAAAAAATAGTCATGGGAAAAGTTCTTGGACACAGCCATGATGTAAGGAAGCATCATCACTTTTAAACTGGCAAGGGAGTTTACAAAAATGTACTTTCATAATCACTACTTCTCCCAAACATGTTAAAAAATGACTTACCATTAAGCAGATGGTTAAATTATTAGTAATTCCTTTTCTTAATATTAAAATAGTATCAGATGAGCAACACTGCCAAAGCGGCTGGCCAGACACCACAAGACACAGCATATTGAAGCAAAATATCCACTTGGAAACTCCAGAGTAGAGGAAAGGGGGAGAAAGAGAAACACCAAGAGGAGGAAGTCCTGGAAATGAAGAAGCAAAGACAGAAAAAGAAGAGGAGTTATAGGCAGCAGAAGACATCAGCAGGAGCTTCTCATAATGCAGAGGAGGACTCAGACACAGAAAGAGGAAGACTTCCAGTGACTGGTTAGGAGGAAGAGTTGCAGAAGAAACACCTGTATCAGTTTAAAAAAGGAAAAAAAAAAGCTAAAATGACAAAATGAAATGAAGAGGTATCAGCAGAAAGTGACTCCTGGAATAGTCAACATTTTTATTTTATTTTATTCTATTTATTTATTTATTTGGTGAGATCACTTTCTAACTGGGAATTTCAGCCAGCATCTCTCCCACTTACAATCACAGCATTCATCTCTTTTTCCATCTGCAATCACAAAACCCGCCTGTAGGTACCGTACTGGTTGCCAGCTCGGAAAGTATTCAGGTAGTTTGAACTCCTCATGGGGCTTGGCAGCAGGCAGCGCGGCAGCAAGCCAGTGTTATATAAGCAGTGGCACTTTCCTGATGCTCAGGTGCCTGCAGAAGTGATAACTGTGATGGGGGCCTGCAGACACAGGCTCAGAAAGGCAAAAACCACCTGGCAGAATGTGCCTCTAGTGAGAAAAGATGAGCATTAGAAGGAGCAGCGAGCTGAGGGGGCATCACATGGGGAGGGTGGAGGGAATTGCTGAGGGGTCTCCAGTCAGCAGGATTCAGGAGAACGGTGCAGGAGGAAAGGATAGGTAAGGAAGAAAGGAACTGTTACGTGGGAGCTAGGTGGAAAGCAGCACTAACTGCATGCACGCAGCTTTCGCAGCCTTGCAGAGCGACCTCCCCTCCACAGCCTGGGGAGAGGGGATGCACCTGCCTGCAGCGAGGCAGCTCCCAGGCAAAGACATCGGGAAGGGGGCTCTGCCAGGGCCACGCACAGCACAAAGGCATCGTCTCGGTCTGGCATGGCACCCGTTCTGCAGCTGCAACTTACTTTTTACATGAAATCCTTGTGATCCACAGCACGTCGCAAAGGACACCGAAAAGCAGCATTAACGCGTACAGCAGCGTACACTAGGGCACGCAGAGAAGAGAAAAACGCCCCCACAGGGACAGTAGCCTGAGCTGAGGAGTTACCCTGGGAAAGGGAGACCGCGAGCAAATATCGCAGTCTTAAACTTGGCAGAGAAGTGGATGCGGAGGAGGCTGCAGAAAGAGTTACTGGGTTTATTCCTCAGCGACCGAACGCAGATTAAGCCCTGATATACGCAGAGTTTGTGTCCCCGCTGCTTCTGCAGAGATGAGACGTTAACCAGCTGCCCTGCCCCGGGCTCAACCCGCTCC